GTCGCATCTTCAACCATTAGATCACATGCTTTTGAAAACCTCAGCTATAAACTGCACCGAGCGACAAATACATCGATAGATTTGAGGACGATGTGCATGCTAAGTTCAGGAAACTGCAGAATCATAAACTTACCGAAAGAAATGTAGAGTGGGAGACTGAGGAAAATCAAGGTAAAATTTCTGCACAGCCCCATACTATTGCAAAACAAATCTGTTTTCCCACTGACAACGTATTGTTTTTGTCATTGTTTTCTCTATCCAAGAACTGAATGCGTAATGTAGTATGGGGCTGTACGGAAATTTTACCAAAATCAATACTGATTTTATTTCTAACGTGCTGCCTCTTTCCAAGAACGTATTCGGTTTTTTTAAACACTGAAGCGGGATGTGGTTTAGATTAAGACGAAAAAACTTACTGCTATATCCGTTCTATGTCCGGTACGTGTTCTCGGGAATGGGAAGGAGTAAAATGAGTAAATTATGTTCAAACATGATGGAATTTAAAAAAATACAAAAAGAATAAGATAAATTCACGACTGAATTTCAATGCACTATATTCTTTTGAGGATTGCAAATTCATTCCTTCTGAGGAATGCAAGAAAAGGAGGAGGAAAATGTATCTAATGGTACAACGTAACACCCTCACAGCAAGGAAAAAGAGGGTCCCTATGGTTTTTTACGGCTAACGTTTAAAATTTCGGCCATTTTAAGGCTAAAGGTTTGTTTCTCTGCGTTGCGGTTAAAGGAAATTCCTTTTTGGTTAACTTCTTTTACGACTACACTAAAGGTTGAAATTTGTTGATTTTTACGCTCAACAGCAAATTGAGACCCTCTGCCTTCCAGTTAACCTTATTGTGATCCTCAAATAGCGTTGAGATAAAACTTTGAAAAAAGTAGTAAAAAGAGAAAATAAGGAAAAGAATATATCGGAACTATGGAATAAAAGGTAAGACCAAACTAAAATGCTTACGAGTCTTGTACAGTAAATATCGATTAAACATTAATTTCGCTTTTGCGCCCATCGTGTTCAAGTGCCTCGCCGCTTGTGATCGTCTTTGCCTCATTGTTTTAATATTCCTATCTTAATTACCGATCTTTAAGCACCTGCAATAGAAAACCGTATAATTTGAAATGAAATTGGCGTGGTTTAAGTGTCAATTTTGGCTACAATAGCGTTTTCTGTAGTGTTTGGAGTTGATCCCCACCGGGACAGAAAAATTGTAACACTTTGACTATTTTAGATCTAATCAACGATTTCCTCTGTTTTCCCTCAAAGTCAAATGCGGCCATCACATGTTTTCAACATAGAGAGACACTTTAACATTTATAAAGGGACATAATGACACAACGATTGTAGACAAGGATTGTAGTAATCTTTTAACAGTCCTTTAGCAGTTCAGTGTAATCGAATGTAAACAAAACATCATTGTTGTCTTCAGATGAAAATGTTTGATTTAACATCCTCGATCTTGAGTAACCCCCATCCAACATTGCTCAAGGTCTAGTGAGGTAATCACATGTCTTAAACATGGAGAAGCACACTTTTCTATTTCAGAAAAGGTCGCCTCTCCTCTGCTATTTAAGATGGTTTCTAATGGTTATCCTTTTTCTTTCTTGCAGAAACTTACCAAGACCGGAAAACCAAACAACAGTACCGAATCCGCCAACGAGTTTAAAGCTACTGCGGTTTTACCTTATGTCAAAGGTCTGTCTAAACAGCTTCGCCGTTGCCTACAACAACAAGGCGTACGCGTTGTTTTCAAGTCGGAGACTACGCTAAGATCTCAGTTAGTACGAACAAAAGACGCTGTCGACCCGGCTAAACAAGATGGCGTAGTTTACAGGATTCTATGTGAATGCGGCGAGGTGTACATCGGAGAGACTGAAAGACCTATGCAAGACAGAATTAAGGAGCACGATCGAGACATTCGACTCGCCCGTACCGAGACCTCCGCCGTTTCAGAGCATGCCATAATACCGGACACAAGGCACTCTGGAACGAAGTAAAGTTTATTGATCGTGACCCTTATTACTACACACGTAGGGTCAAAGAGGCAATTCATATAAGGCTTCACCCTAACAACATCAACAGGGATAGTGGAATAGAAATTCCAGAAGCGTGGATGCCCACGATCAAAAAACACAACAACAGGAGAGCCGTGCGACAGCGGACCGCTGAGGGAGCACATCACTGAGTGAACAGCAGGGATCGAAATGCACCAATCAGAGCTGTTGAAAAACAACTAATCACAGCAGAGGATCATGCTTTATAAGATCACGCATGACTGAAGAAGACTGGCAGTGTGCAGTCGAAACGTCGCGATCTACATCACACGTGACTATATCGTGAGACAAACGAAAAACTTAGCTTTTATTGTTATTAACCACTATGAATAACCACAACCTTTTCTAATTCAGATTTTTTTTCAAAACTGACTTATAATTCTGAAGAATCTAACTGAGTTTCTGAAATGACTGCCTCTTCTAGTAAGACATAGTGAGATTTCATGACTTAGGATGTTAAATATTTCTTGAATTTCCTCATGGAAAAAATGTCATGACGAACTAAATATCATCTTGTGCCTCTTTAGCTTGGACTTTGCACTTTTCTTTGCATTTGCTCCTTTTCAGGGTAAGGCTACAGTAATGAGACTACAGGATTTTGGAAACACAAGATCCATCAGATATTTTCTTGTAGTGCTTTTTTTTTTTTAGTTCTTCTTTTCCAGCCCGAGTGACACCAATAATGTCTACAATGTACCTTTGTCTCTGTGGTTGTTAAACAATCTGGCAGCTCCAGAGGTTCAGCCTCAGGGTGGGCAAATTCTGGTGATTCTGACATGCTGCAATTGTAGAGGGATTTGCCCAACATCAACCTCTCTGACTTTTACTCTTTTAGAACTTTGACATTGGAAAATGTATATGTTCTGCCATCCTGAACACTAATGGTGAAATTCTGCCGTAGTGTTACTTTTATTGTTCTAGTGGGTCATTCATACAGCAGTCAACCTTAGCTTTTCTCTACACCGTTGGCTGTGTTTACCTTTTTAGTGCCACTAAGTTGGCTGCCTTTCCTTTTATAGTGAAAAGTTGATTGTGGTGTACTGCAAATGGTGAAGTAATGCTGTCAGTTTCTTTTACTGGTTTTGCAGTAAAAGGCACTTCAGTATAAAGAATTTCAAACCTCTTTCCTGTACATGAATTTTGCCACAAGTGTCGTCGTCAGGTCCACTGTCTGGTTTCTCTTAGATAACATGCATTAGATAACAACCGGGACCTACTGGCTTATATTAAGAAAAACGCGTACCGCTATCAGTTTTCTCCAATTAGCTTTTAGCTGGAGATTGCATGTCTTGTTGATATTACTTTCCTTGAAAGATAAATTGTCTCTGAGAAATCACGACTCGTGAGTCGGAAGATATTTCTTGGAAAGAACTTTAACCAACTAGTAACTCTTTTTCTCTATAAGAAGGGAAAAATAAAAGGTATATTTAAAAATCAACTACCAATGTTTAATGCATTAAGTCGTAGGCAATAGATCGAGTGGGGTATACCTAAATAATACGGTTTTTATCGACTGAGTTGGTAACATAAATTGGCCACCGTAAAGAGTTTTTAAGCTGACTTTACGAGATGATGACGACCCATAGCCGCTGTGATCACACTTCAGGGTTAAGTGAGGATTCTGGTCACTCCCTCGCGTGAAATCACTAGACGACAAATAAAATGCTAGGCAAACAGCTTGCTGGTCAAAACGTCTTAATAATTTTATGAGATAGCAGTTAATAAATCATCGATTGTGTTTTCTAATGGTTTTCGTAGTTTTTTAGCATTCGATGTTGATGATGCTTAAGTAGGTTGTCGGCTTACCCAGGCGGAAAATTGGCAAATAATGTGATTGTACATTCATTTTCACAAAATAAAAATGAGCATAAAATTACTAAAGGAGCGAACTAATCAAAAACAAAATACTCGATTCGTGTGATCATTGCTGGCTAGTAGTTCTCGCTAAACTACACATTTTTAGTTTTTTATTTAATGAAGTTTTAGCGAAGTTAGGCTGCAAAGGCGCATGCCAACAGCATAATGACGCCATGTGATTCATCTGTGACGAATTCGTTCTTTAGAGGCAACAGACGATATTCAGAGAGAATCGAAACTCTGCGGTCTTGCTTAAGAATCAATACAAATGGCAGCAGTTACACTCACAGCCGATGGCTGTGTGAATAATATCAGATTCAGAAATTACATTCCTAGAAGCGAGTTATTTAAGAGGGAATCGACCCCTGACATACAAACACATTAAAAAGAGACAGAGACCCTTTAGTACACGAACTTTTTTTTGTGTCATCCACCAGGAGTAAATAAAGGATTTATCAAAAGAGAAGCGCTACGCATCCAAAGAAAGAACCCGAATTCTCACGCTCCGCGCCTAATAGAAACGTACAGAGTTTCAAAATATGCTTAAAGAATAGATGATGCCTAGATAAAGGTTTTGAGAAACATATCTCTGAGGTGCTTTTCTGCGGGAGAGAAAGAATACTCTAAAACAAAGAAACACAGAAGAAATATTTCCTTTTAAAACACAATCTCATCCGGCTTTGCCAAACCTAAGAACATACACCTTAACTGATGTAGTTGAAGTGTCAGTGATAGTCAAAATGTGATTGTTGACATCACCATCTTTCGTCGCTGGTTTATTTTCAGGTAGTCTTGTATAGTTTTTGTAAGCCCTGCTCTTGCCTGACCGTCTTCATAACTCACTCTTATATCGTCATATTTGTAGCCAGCTTTTTCAGAGATTTGGATAACAGCTCTTTTTATACACTTCAATTTGGTCATTGTCAGCAAACCATTGTAAAGTAAGAATTGTGTAGTTAATCCCGAGGTATTTTTTTTATTTTAAAACACTTGTAATAATCATGCACTTGGGAATGTTTACAATGATGTCCACTTTGGACGAAAGTATTACTTTAGCAATAACGGAATGATTCCATGGCTATTTTCAAATTGTTTTATTATTATTGTTTGTTACAAATTACGGTCGACTTACAGTGGTAGCACGTGTTTTACACTAATCAGTAATTTGATTTTTTGGCTGGAAATACATCTCTTGTGAGGTTCACCAAACGGAGACTTCACGAATAAAAGCCACGAGAGCGCATACCAATAGCATAATGGCGCTGACCATTGGGACAGTGGCTACATTGCACAAATCGCCACTACAGCAGTGGATCTTGCATTCGACTGGAGGATCAGATGACTTGCAGGATTCATGTGCTTTGCATTTAGATTTCGCACTGCAACCTTTGGAGAAATGCTGGGTGTCGTTTTTGTCTATTTTAACTTTTACACAGTGATCTTCTTCCCCCGGGCAAGTCACTTCTTTGGTCGCACAGTGTTCCCAACTCTTAGTGCTATAGCACTGATAGCATTTGTGGGCATATCCTTTCAAATGGAACAGACAAACCATCAATCAATCAACCAATCATTAAGTCGATCAGCTATTTGAAAAAAAGAGTTATGAATATGAAAGCGATCTTTACAGTAATGAACACTACTTAAGCAGTCCGGCTGCGAAGATTGCTTTAATGCTCATTTCTTAACCGCAGTTCGTAAATATGATTTCACATAACTACAGTAGAAAAAAGTTATGCAAAAAACAAACAAATGAACGAACAAAAAGTTCTTTAAGTTCAATAGCAAACAGGAAAAACAAGCGCCAGATAGCTTGTCCATTAAGAATAAGCTCATTTACTTAATGACAATTGAACTAATTTGAACTTAATTAATGACTACCTAAAAGCGACCATGCAATTTCGTGCACAACATGCGTTTATATGGCAACTACGTTGGAAAACTTTCGCATAAATTATTTCTGCGATTTGAAAATATGTCGCTAACCCTACCAATACGACTTAATAAGTTTAAAGAGAATAAGGAATGTGGTATTTTTTAGCTCAGTAAAGAAACAGAGGAAATATTTTTTCTGTATTGCAGTGATCGTACATAGAAAAAGTTCTAGTACCCAAGAGGAATCAAAAATTTGTCTTTGTCCTGTGCTCGTTACAAAATGGAAAACAGTTTCCTCCTTGTCTTAAATACTTAATCAACCACTGCAGAATTGAAAATTGAGTCACTTTCAATTTAGTCAGGCGTTGGGCAAAGGCCACAATGAGTGTGATATTTGGTCTCGGCGTGTTCAAAGCGAGCAACAATTTCAGAAATTTATCTGCCCTTCTTATCAAACTTGAAATCTGTTTAAACAAACTCAGTAATATCAAGTGATCAGAACAAATTCGAATGCTTTTCATTTGCTGGTGGCCACAGTCGAATCACGCTAGGACTGAGTCCGCCAAAAATTCATCGCTTTATTATTAATACTGAATATCAGAAATCAAGTTCAAGTTTTTTTTTATAATTTACCATGTTAAGTCAAACAGGAGATGATAAATTTCAAAATTTAAAACCGCTGCGTCTTTTTTTCGAAATTGTCAAGTACCTTCTGCTCTTCACACCAATCTTACGCTTGTGTGAAAATGATAAAATCTTAGCATGTTGTCTTTCAGTGGTATTTTGGGAAAGACGATATTGAAATAAATAATGTGGCCATAAACTACTTTTACAACAAAAGTTTTTTTCAAAAAACCTTTCTTTCGGCGTTCAAGGGCATCATCCTAGGTAAAAAAAAAAGGTATTTCTGATAATTCTGTTGATCGGCGAAAGCTCTAATCTTAAACCCATCATATTTAATAGAACGTTCAGGGTTCAATATTGTCACTCGAAAATTACGGTTTTGATTCAGCATTGAAAAAATTGTTTCAACAAGTAGCCTTCAACAGTCAAATAAACTTGAAGTGAAAACTACGTTTGGAAACTTTCCTCTCAGCCGAAACTTCTCAGATCACGAGCATGTTTTTTTTTGTAAAAATAATGCTCACAGTTGTGCCAGCAGATATTCTTGATTCCAGATTTGACATTTATCAGTTGGTGTTTATAGCATGCATGATATATCGCAAAAAACTCGAGTTTTGTAGGGGACAAGAAATTAAAACGAAATAAAGAACCTCTTCACTTAATGCAGAATCTAATTGAAGTTGTAAAAGAAACATAAAGTAGAGGTCAATACAAATTGCGGACGCTCGCTCACGGCGCGCCTTCGCTTTTGATTTGATGGACTTCCAGTCTCTGTAACGACCTGCAGTTCTATATAGTAGTTCTACTTGTTGTTACGCACTGCGACAAATTACAACCCCGGGAATATTCAGGGAGAGAAAGTCCTTCCGTAATTTAAAATGGTACGTAGATCCTTCAAGGACTTGCCTCGTGGTAGTAATTAGTATCATTTAAACATTGCCTCACTAATTATCTATATGACTACCTCGGTACGCCTTTGTTTTTGTGCTTGGCAAGCGTTTTGTGTTGGAAAAGCCATGTTCATGTGAATTAAACTGAGTAAAGATTGGCCAATCAGAAACTTACCAATAGAGATACAGAGAGAGAGAGCGAACATGAAATGGATTGATTTCATCTCAAAGCTGCCGTTTCTTGCAAAGAACTTGATTTGTTTGGTGATGTGGCTGAAGGGAGACTGATGTCTGCTGTTACTAATGGTTTTTCTGTGTATATATAATAACAGTTACCGATACAGGTATTTTTTCTAACCAATAATTTTCTTCTAGTCGTAACGTTAATCAATATTTCTATATCAGAAAAATGTTTTATTATTTCATAACAACCCCTTTGGAATATATAAGCTACTCTTATGAGTCATATTAGTCATTTCCAAGTTATATCTGCTCCACAATGGCTGAACTTGTTTTTCGATTTGTCAGCCTTTGATTATACTGAGACTAGATTTTTTTTTTCATTTGAAAGTTAGCTTTTGAACTGTATCCCCTAATCTAAAAAGCACTCTCTGACAGCGTGAAAAGCCGTGATGTAACTTTGCATTTTACGATTTGAAAACGGAATTTTTGAATATTATGTCCAAAGAGTGGTTTCCAGTCGTTTGAAAACAATAGCTCAAGTCACGGTCATCTATTTAATTTCAAGTACAGAGGTCAATTTTGTGGCTGATTTCCACTTCCCAGTTTCTGGGAAGTGGAAACGTCCTATACCGAGAACGTCCTATACCGGGAAAAGTAGCGGGAACTAATAACACTGTGTAGCGAATGAATTTTATTCAGCGTTGTCCCCTATCGGCTCATATAGCTAAAGTGTATCGACACTTGAGTAAAGTTTATTAGTACTGTTATTATTTTTGAATGACGTGAATAAAAGTGATCCTCGCAGTAATTTGCACTACTTGGGCAGTAGTGAAAATAAGGCTTGAAAAAATTCAGGCCTGTACGGGATTTCAACCCATGACCTCTGCGATACCGGTGCAGCGCTCTACCGACTGAGCTAACAAGCTAACTGAGAGCTGGTTTCATATGACTTTCATAAATTCTTAACCGTTCACTGTTATTATTATTGCGTTCCTTCCTGCATACAAATGTGTCTCCCTTATTTCCGTATATCATCTGACAGCGCTTTTTACTCCTCTAAGCCAAATACATCACTGATCATCAATAAATCTGTAGGTAATGATAGCACTGGTATGTTTATATGTATTTCATATCATATCTTTGTTTCAGCATTGTGTTCTCAAGCTTTTCTGAAGAAACATGAAATTAATGTGAAATATGGACCCGCGATAAAAATTGCTAGTCAGCTTGAGAGTTGTAATCTTTTAAGTTTATTAAAGAAAAAGAGAGTTAAAAAAATTACTAGTGGAGATTAAGATCATTAAAAAATCTTGATCTCAGCCTGAAGTTATTCGAAGGAAACAGCAAAATCAGGTCAATTGATCTCGAGAAAATGTTTAAAAGTCATACCGTGAAAAGCGCAGGCTATGAAAGAGTGATCTAACTCTCGTGAATTCTGCTCTGAAGAAGAAGTGCACCCCAAAATAAGGTGACTGGATGAAGGTTTATGAAAAGGTTTAGATGGAACAGAAAATCATTTGTTATGAACATATTACTTGGCAACATATATATTGCAACAAAGATTCTCGTCTAAATATCTACGCAATAAGCGAGATCGAACCTGTTTGGGGTATGAAGAATAGCTTGCGGTCCTGTCGAAGATCTTCGAAAGTTTGCGTCCAATATGTGGAAGTAAAGTGCTAATTAGCCGATTTACTCAGATGATGATATGCGATTTCCTTTCACGCGCGCGATTTCCGAAAACCAAAACAAAAATTGCGGACAGTGATTATTCCATCCGTATAAAGCTTGCGAGAATTTCTGCCGGATTCAAGAGAAGATTCTGCTAGATTCCCCATCCAGACCAGTTTAAACAGCGGATATTAATATTTGTCTCCCACATAAGACTTTGTCTATAATACCAAATCTTATTTCTGACGAATAAGCTCGCGAATAAGGCTGAAACAAATATCCTGTCGGCATAAGACACTACTCAGCCTGGGTACCAGGTCGGTGCGTCATGGGCAGGAAACCAGAGGTATATAAGAAGGAGTACAGCACACGATAATCATCGAGGTCTCTGCATGTATTAACCCAATTCAGAGCTCCACTTAGTTCAACTTTATTTTTCAGATACGTCTTGCTTTAATATGGGCTTTTTTTCTCTTTGTGAAGCCTCCGCAGGATGGCTAATAGTTTTTGGAGCTAGAACCTTGGCTCCTGCCCAGATTTCCTACCCATTTTTTTTCCATCGGAAATTTTTGGACAAGTTATTTTTTTCTGACCTCCATTCTAATCGCTCTCACATTGTCAGGGGTTGCTTTGTTTTTCGTTTTATTACATGTGTCTTTGACTTAGGCTGTTTAATATAAGTTGCTTATCAGTGTTTGACTTCGGTGACTCGTAGATAAGTACCGTCGCTCTTAACTATAGACTGCTTACTTATTGTTATTTGCACTTGCTTGATATCCTTCTTGGCAGTTTTCTCGCCTAACTGGCAAGCTTCGTTTGTGCACCTTTACATGAGGGTTTTTTTGGTCCAAATAAAGGACTCCCCACCCTAACTGGCAGCTTTACGCTAATTTGGTTGGATTGTAAGTTTGTTAGCTAACTGGCATGATTGATTGAACACGTACGTTTATCTTTAGATTTTAGTTCCTATCAGTGGAATTCCCAGCTTAATCGGTACTCGGACGGAAAGATTGTACAGATAACGGCAAGTTTTTCATGGACATCATCCAACGTGTTAAGGCCCAGCCAAACGCACGCAACTGTTCAACGCAACATCTTACAATATTGTTAGATCGTCTTGTGTGAAGGAGCTGGCCAAACAAGCGCTACATCTTAGAACATCCAAAAAATTAATGCAACAAAAATTGACCATTTTCAAACTTGATTCAACAACATCCAATAACTTGCAACATGTTGCAACACATTGCTACAGGGTGGCCAAACATGTGCAATACGTTGCTACATTGTGGCCAAACGTGTGCAATACCTTGCGCGTAACACAGTTGCAAGATGTTCCGTTGAAATGTTGTGTGCGTTTGGCTGGGCCTTTATATCTCTCAAGGACCAACGATTGACGTTTGCTCAAGGTAATTACTTTACGTTGTTCACGTAGGGTGCGTTCCTTTGGGAGAATCCGGATCAGGATTTCCGATCTGTGGCGTTCCTTTCGAGCAAATCCATTTTCAGATCAGTGATCTATCAAATCCACTCTGGACAAGGATTCATCGGATCACTGATCTGGGTGATCTAAAGACGGATCATTGGGTCAGTGATCCAACGCGTTACTTTGAGCGAAGGATCCAAAATCAATCATTTTGCCCAGCGGTGCTCAATTTCAAACAATTAGGTACTTCATATATTGACCGGAAAAATTGTTGTCAATCGCTCCACAAATGCTGCGATAAACACGAAATAAAATCGATTTTGTAATTTTAAATCGATGGGCCACTGATCGCAGGCATTCAGGGTTCCCAAGAATCCATATCGTAATTAATACTTGCTTCTGTTTTAATTCCATCGTTTGAGTTTACAATGGAAAAATGTGCTTCTAATCAATAGTGCGCGCTGAAAGCCCGTACAGTTAGACGAGCCATTCAAGGAAGAGCTCAATAACCCAAGTGCATACTTCCAAAGGAGCGCACCCTAAAACTCCGTTCCTTTCATGCACCGTGATTTTTGTGATCTTGGATCACAAATCCAAACCCGGATCCTCTTAAAGGAACGCACCCATAGGCTCTCGCAGATTTTGTAATGTCGTATGGTGTTTTGGGTTGGTTCTTGCCAGGCCCCCCTCTCCCCCAAAAAACGTATTTGTCAACAACCTTTGCTGTTTGTGTGCTGTTTAGTGGAGACTAAATTTTCTCTGAAGAAGTCTCCAATGTCGAATTTTGCCGCCGTTTCACAATCTGCTAAACTTTAAATTTCTGATAACCAACATTTCATTAACATCGATTCTCTTTTTTCTATTCAGAATTCAGTGAACGTTTATTCAGCAGTCAGTATAGCCGCAAAAGTTACTCACTCGTATTTAAAAATTTAGCAAACTTGACACGACACATTGTTGAACACGGTAACTGAAAATAACAAAATTACAAACACGTGAATGAGCATAAAATAACTTATAACGTATGAGTGAAAGTACTGGAAAACGACAAAGCGAAATAAACAAGGACACTTACAAGACGAATGTGACCAAACCGAAAGACGAAAAAATGAAACTCAGAGCACGATATGTTCCGATATGTTCCGCAAACTAGACAACTAACCAAATAAATTACGTGCGAACAGAATAAGCAAATAAATATAACAAGTACAAAACTGGTAACTAATGAAGACGAGAAACTAAACACCTAACACGAAACTATGAAACAACAACAACAACAACAAAAAATAATAATAATACGAATTCTTGCGCCTACAGTTAGTAGTCTTTATTATCAGTAAAAGCTTTTTCAGTTCAAGGCAATGCTTAAAGCTTGAGAATTGCTGTTACGCTTGCGGCGACTAGAACAAAATTGAAGCGAGGCGTCGCTTTGGGCGTATTGCTAGCAAGGTGTTTAGAGGCTGTCCGCGTAAGAACGGATAACGCAAATTTCGGCCCATCACCGATTTCCCTAAGTTTTCCACTGGAAGTCAACAATATTATCCCATGTACAAATATCACATTTATTTTGATCAATTTTATTTCTTTTATTTTTTACGAGACAATTTTAAAGGTCACCCCAAAACTGCTCAATTTGTCTTGACCATCTGCCCGAGGCACAGACACTTACTAGGAAGATTCTAACGAGGTCCAAGATCGTGCCAATACCCTGGCCATACTGGGAAAGTTACAAGTGTGGCGGGCAGCCACGTCATAACCTTCCTAATAGCTGACGAAATAAGACTTATATTTTAAGAAATCGCCGCTGTAAGATCACGTAAGTACCAATAGCCTTGTGGCTCTCTCTAGTTCTGTTTCCCCAATTGTCAATACTTTTATAAGTTTTTGTTGTTGTTGGTCAAATGTCCATTTCCCTTGGTTAATTATTGGTGTCGCAGTCGTAAATACAAAAATGCGTTTTTTATCATCAACCAAGGAAATTTCTTTAATTCTTTAATGCTATTGCTACACTTAGACTACTGGACAGCCTGGTTGGTGGCAATGAAGGACACAAATATAGTCCTGAGCGGTGAATCTGCATCTCCTTCCCATGCCTCGCACGATGTCGCCCCTCTTTTACTCGTCTCTACATTTCAAAAACACTTTTCCTTTATCTCACACCCACAACGACAACTGCTACGGACGATAGAGACTATATGCCTCCTAGATGTGTTTGAAACGCCTGGCATTTCTATTACAAATGATTTAGGCTAAGCTAGACGATGACAATGATGAAGACGACAAATTATTAATGAGTTGTATTGATGCAATTTTATAGCTATTTACACACTTGCCAAAAGGAGCATTCTGAGTGACTGTTGGGTTTGGGATGGCACAGTTCTACCAAAATTTCAGTCAACCAGGTGCCTGAGGAGAAGATACATCATCGTGTTCGCATTGATATGACCAAAGTCGATCATTTCGTCGAGTTCATTAATCGCCCATACTTTTGTCAAGACGTGTCTTACGGAACTAAATTCCTTAAGCTAGACAGTGGCAAAACCATCGAGATGCGGAATGTGGTGCGTACCGTGACGTGGTCTACGATGATTGGCCAGTACATACAGTTCTGTCAGGAGGAGGAGTTTGAACCTCTCAGTCGCACCACTTTATTCAAGATCCTAGAAGTCAGACAAGCCTCACAGAGAAAGTCGTTACAAGACCTCGACAATACTGCTGCCGATGGCTCTGCTGATTTCCAGAAAATTGAAATGATTGTCGATGATCTAAAGAAGGAGGAATGAATAGGCAATGTTGCGCTGAGGTTAAGGAAAGGCTTCCGAGTGAAAAACGCTACTTAAAGACCAATTATCGCGTTCACTGCAATCCAGAGGAAGCTTTATGTCCTGATCATTGCCGCAAGTTCGCTTTAAGTGACGAACAAGATCCCGACTTCCAGGAGAAATGCTCTCATCAACACACAGAAAACTGTAACGAGTGTCAAAATCTGCGAAATGTCTTAGATGAAGTCGAAGACAAAGTTCGAGGTCCATTTTGGATCCCTTACGGCAGTGAACATCGAGACGATCTGCTATACGACTTCAAACTGGCACAGACAGATATTTTTGAGTGGAAGATTCACATTGTTCACTCTGTACACCAGGAAGCAGCAAAGCAAGATCAGCTGAGGACGATAAGTACTAACCTGAACTATGCACTGGTAATAACAGACTGGGCAATGAAGTTCCTTCAGATTAAATATCGTGAGAAGCAGTCAGATTGGTTTGGCAAGAGAGGATTGACTTGGTACATCTCGACGGTGATCACACGTGATCCGAACCTTGAAGGAAGGCTAGAACTGCGGTCATATGCCCATCTGTTTGACGCATACCAGCAGGACTGGTTCGCCGTATGTTCCATCGAAGAAAGCACACTGAGAGAAATTAAGACCGAAAAGCCTCACATCACCCGGGTTTATCAGCGGTCAGACGAAGCTGTCTGTTATCATAATAACTCCCTCGTTGCTGCGGCAAGAGGAATTGGTAAGCGGGTTGGTTTGGACGTTTGTCGGTACGACTTTTCAGAGCCACATCATGGCAAGGATGTATGTGATCGAATTCTGTGTCCGATGAAAACATGCATCCAACGTGTCTGCAACGAAGGACACGACATTCTATTAGCGGGAGACATGAGGAGGGCCCTTTCTGGATAACCACTGAAAGGTACATCCGCATGCGTTTACGAAGTTGACGAAACGAAGATAACCCTAGAAGTGAACAAGATAGATGGTTTTAGCAAGCTTCACAATGTCCAGTTTGAGGAGAAAGGTATTCGTGTGAGGAGGTCGTACGGAATAGGGCGTGGTAAGGAAATCTCTTTTGACCAGCTGGTGTTAAAGGGCTAAGGGGACACTGGTATCATTGTTAGTGAAATATTTTCCCTCTTCATGATGCACGTGTTTATCAATGCTCAGATTCTGTGACAGAGAGTTCAGAAGAAGAGAATGACCGGGACGATTCGAATATAAGCATGTTTGAATGTTCCGATCCTGGATGCGTGAAGAGTTTCCAAACATTTTCAGAGCTCGAGTCACATTTGGACGTAGGGAATCATTGCGTCAAAGATGATGCCGTCAGAAACGCTATATGATAAGCTTCGTAGAGATTGGGTAGACAGGTTTACTACATCAGTCAACGTCACTGAAAATGAACCGTCTGAACCTAATATCCGCCAAAGTAAAATACAATACAATACAATATTTATTTGCCATATACGACATTTACACATGGAAAAAAAATGAAGAAAATTGATGACAGAAAATAAATGGCGAGAAAACCTGAAAGAAACCACGAGAATGTAGAATGTAGACATCACTCACAGTGTTTCAAGTATTCCACCCACCCTACAAAAAAGTAACTCTTGCATGCATAGCATGCCTATGTTTTGAAATAGGTGTAGACCCTTGGCCAGACTTGAGCGCACTATTTCAGTATACTAGTCCGACACCCATAGTATCATTACACTTGATTCCAAGGATCCAGTACCATCCAGGTATCCCAGTTACCCTGCTCACAGGGTCTAGTTGACGCGTATTATAACACGAACGCATGAAGCTAATTTGCATATAGGAATTATTAACGAAGTATTTTTCCGGAAAATTTGAGCCATTTCGTGAAAAAATGGCCAAAATGATGAATTATATCGATCTTGATACTCCATCAGATAATCTTTGCGGCACCTTCAAGTATTTTAGGGCTGTTACGCTTTAAAAACCTGTCTGCAGGTCGGACCGCCTTATCGTTGGTTTCAATCAAGATGGCGAATATTTATGAAATTCGCCAAGCTCTTTACGGTGCAGGATGAGGAGTGCCCAAAAGTTTTATTCTGTGTTTAACTTTTAACGTTTCTAAGTACTCTTAAGCTGCAATAGACTTGACGCTAGATCAGGTCCCACATAAGAGAAAATAGCTTTCAACCGCATGTACCTCACTCCTCACAAATTTCAATGCTCACGATAAGGTATTTTGAAAGTTTCATAACTCGGTAAAAATTTTATAGAATGCGATCATTTTACCTTTAAAGTATTGAAATAAAGTCACTCTTAAATATGTAAAATAATCAGCTTTCTTGATCGGGAAATAGGGATTTGGTATCGCTCGATATTTATAGCTTAATAATAGGGGTCACAGAAGGCAAATTGGGCAGTTTTGGGGTGACCTTTAAAATTGTCTCATAAAAAATAAAAAGAATGAAAATGATCAAAATAAATGTGATATTTTTACATGGGATAGACTTTTCGACTTTCACTGGAAAACTTAGGGAAATCGGTGATCGGCCAAATTTGCCTTATCCGTTCTTACGCGGACAGCCTCTTAAACTATTTTATGGGTCACAATCACGAGAACCAAAGTGACGGTTAACAGAGATTTATTGTCGTTGAAAACCAAGGCCGGGTTGTTCAAAGCTGGGCTAAGATAACCCAGGGTTAGTGTAAAATTTTATTTAAGATCTGAAAGCTTGAAAAAAAAAATTCAGCTTAAATCTCTTTGTCCTCAATTTGTTGATTGAATGCTCTAAAAATAAATGAAGAAAATTGTCCTCAAACAGCTTTTGAACAGAGAAGTATAGAAACCTAGATTAAAATTTAACAGTGGGTTAGCGCTAATCGGCCTTCGAAGAACTGGGCCCAGAATACTAAAACGACCACGATATTAAGACGACCATGTAGCTAAAACAACCAAGTGGCTAAAAACGACCGTAAACTGAAATAATAATACAATTAACTCCTATTAATCGAGGCGAAAACTTCCGAAATATAAGATAAAAGCATGTGAAACAAATCTAACTTAATTAGAAAAAAAATTCATACTTTGTAAAAGCTGCAAAACAGTAGATTATGACTTGGTCTGTCTAGAAAAGCAGTTCCTTAATCAACGAACTAAATGAACTTATAAAGGCAACAAATGCGCACGCCAGAAACGTGATGGTGCTGGCCGTTGGCAGTGTTCCTCTATTACAGTGATCTCCGCGGCAGCAGTGGACAGAACACAAGTTTTGGGACGAATCGCCGCACTTCATTCGGTCGACAGCATCTTTGCACCATTGTTCGGTTTCAATACAACCCTTGGCATATAACGTTCCTCCCCAAAGGTTAAGTTTATGTTGATACTTGGCACATGCACTCCATCCTAGCGAACAGGTTTGTTTCTTCGCTTCACTTCCACAGTGGCCCCAACTCTTGGCACTCATGCACTGGTAACACGTCAAGCACTGCCCTGAAAATGAAAGTTACATTATGAGACAAAATCAGTTATGAAAAGAGTAAGAGAAATGGTAAGTGTAAGTTTTTAGCCCGGTAAAGAAATAGAGAAAGATGTTTTTCGTCTTGTCACGAGTGTGGGACAAAGAAAAGATTCTGAGTCCCCATGAGGTATCGAACCTCAGACCTTCAGATTCCACGCTCCGATGCTCTATTACCACCACTCCAACATGTCAAAAATAGAGAATCGGAGAGGAATGTAGACCCGAAGATAATTATACACTTTTTAGTTCTTGCCGTGACACAACAAATGACGAAAAACGTCTCAAAATTATTTAACAGTTGCATCCACCTACGTGTAATTACTCGGGCTTTCCACGGGAAACACCCGAGTTGAAATTCCGGCTTTGTTTGTTTTTTTTTTCGTACGGTCGCAAATCGCAGTCAAGTCCTCATCACGCATGGGTGACCTTTCGAGTCTGACTCATGCGGGACGTGTTGACTAATGAGCACACAGGATGGTGTAATGGCGGACGAAGAGAAGCTCTCGCGGCGCTCAAAATGCATGCAAAATATGCTTACATCGTTCGCGGTAGACCCACACTAAAAGATGTCGAACATTTTCGGAACGGGTCGGTCCGTGAATTTTATGATATCTCTCTATGAGCGAACATTTATGAGTGAACCTTTCATCGAGAAACATGCTCTATCGACTGAGCTATCTAATGTTAATCGAGAGAAGTATAGACGCAAATCTCATCGTGTATGTAGACGTGATCGTGAACCAAGCAGAATACCGATACGAAGTTTGAAAATTTTAAGGAACAAGAGCAGAAAGGTTAGAAAAATTTGTCTATGCAATTTGTTTCCCATGTATCTTCATGTTATCTAGTACATTATACTGTTATGTTAACGCTAAAAAAACTATTAAATGAAAAGACATTTAACTTTACCTGTTGTGAAAGAATTCGTCAATGTATACGAAAGGTGAAATATTGTGCCAGTCGATATATAAAATTGTTTTCTTGTAACAAACTGATGTGTTCTTGCAAGAATGAGGCTCGTGTAGCAAATTATTGCAACTATAAATTAAGTAGAGACATAGAAAAAAATCTTGGCACTCCAACATATGTTGACCCTAACAAAATAATAGTAGCTTCCTATAGTCAAGGTAACGAGTTAGTTTTGGGACAGAATGCAGGACAACAATGTGTTGCAATGAGTTTGTGTTCTTTGATTTACAATGACACACAAGGGATCAGCTCCGCAAATGATCTTATACAAATAATGAATATTGGAAATCAGCTTTATTCAAGTTTGTCATGATTAGCCAGACAGGCATATTTAATGCAGTCAGAATTACCAACAGCATTAAATGTGTTTGATACTGATTATCAACTGGAATACAGTGAAAGCTACTCTGGTACTGTTCACCAAGAAATTGCTATAGAGGGATATCAGTACTGTACATCTTTACCAAGAGCCTTTGAGTCACTCATATTTGAAAGCTAGACCAATTTCATTTTAACAGTAGGGTGTATTACTTTAATAAAAATATGGGGTTCAAAATATTTGATTCTCATGTAAGAGATTTGTATGGTAGAGGGCAGCCTCAAGTTACATGTGTTCGTTCTTCTTGAAATACTGTCTCTTGATAGTTTAGTGCATTATTTTCAGAGTATTCATAACAATGATATATTTGAAGGGAGAGGGGTGCAAATTGAGAATATTCAAAATAGGATGGTTTCTCAAAACAGTCTGAATAAAACCATAAACTTTAATCTAAGTTGTGCTGTAGCTCTACACTCTCTTTGCTACTCTATAATGAAATCATGTAATTACTGGAATTACAACTCATCCTTACCCACCATTGTTGACAAAGGCAAAAAGATGTGTTTTAAATCAAGTTTAGAACACAACCAGCAATCACCAGCTAATCTTCCAAGAACTGTAGATGTTTGTGAAACTGAAGTAAATTTGGATAATTTGTTTGAGAGAGAAGGACTATTAACTGATTCACTTCCAAGAAAGTCAATTCTTGAGAATGAAATAATACCTAATAGTGAATGTACAGGGTTTTTGATATCATTTTCTTTGTACTGCATCAGTTGTACCTTTAAACCCACAAAAAGATACAAATATATGTATTCCCCCCTGCTTTATAATGAAAGACACACATCCCCTATTCAGTACACTAAAAACATATATGGAATGGCTTCACTTGTTGATGCCATCAGAAAAATACTAGAAAAATATAATACTCTAGGGCAATACAGAATACTGTTTGCTACATGTTCATGTAAAGTAGTTGATAGAAAGGAAAGGAAAAAATTGATGATTAAACATAGGAAAAAAACAATACTATAAAGCAATGGAGCCAGCAGAGAAAAAATATTCTTGGAGAAAAAACAATTTAGGGGTATGAAAAATAAACAGGAAATACAGAAAAAACTGTCCCAAAAATACAAAACAATGGATACTGGGTAATCAGTATCTTCAGGATGCACTAGCCATGACTGAATGCATTGAATATCACCCTCTGTTTGTGAAGCAGTTCTGAATCTATTTAATAACTCTGTGAATGGCTGGTCATCCTTTTGTCTCATATTTTTAGTCAACTCTATCATCTTGAAAAGTAGCCAGGAATGGCACAAATTGTAAACATTATTTTTATATTCTTTAAAGAAAAATTTTCTTAAATTTGGTGGAAGTTAATACAAATCACAGACTGTAATAATGCTAAGTCCTGCAAATAGACAGTTGTTTGATGTTGACAATATTTCTTTTAGTTGTTGATGGATGTGCTGTAGGAAAGTATTTGATACCACAGAGATTTCATCAATTATTATCAGTTTTAAATCTGACCGTGTTATTCTTATCTGTGTTTTCTTTTGGTCTGACATTGGTGTTATATTGTCACCTGATTCTTTAGGGATTGCTTACCAAGAGAAAAAACAGATACAGGATAAACCAATAACTACATGAAAACTTAGGCAAATGCAAACACAGAAAACAAAGTTTATTTCCAACAGAAAGCCTGGGTGAACGCAAATATGCGTCTAGTTTAAATTAAAACTTTTCCTTGCAGAAACATCTCAATAGCTTTGATCTGCACATCATAGGAGAAAATTTTTTTTCTTTGAAAAGAGAGCATTTACCGTTTTAATTAGCGACCTAT